GCTTCAAACTCATGACCTTTCGGTCAATAGTGATTTAAATGCAGCTGATTCTCAACCAGCTGCGCTACAACCTGGCATGAAAATATTGCCGCACCCCTAAAAACGGGGTCACAATCTTTTATTTTTTGCAGAAATTCAAAAAGCACATTTTGATTTATGTGAACACATTGTCCATTCAGTTGGTCTATGTTTACCTAATACATTTCTGATTGGCTCTCTATTACTATGCAAGCAAACAGGTGGGAAACAACAGGAACTGGAATAGACTGGAAATTTCATATCTTCTTCAAGTGGCCCTGACTTGCTGGAATGCGCTTTGGCAGGCACTGGCTTATCTCTTGGAAGTGAAAGCAAGAATGCTGCGTGAAAGATTAGGGAGCGTAGGCAAGAGAGATACTCCTCAAACTGCAGTGGCAGCTCTTTTTCAAAGCTATACTTTTGTCTGTATACATTCTACAGATGGGATTTCCAATCCTATTTAGTGTTTATAAAATCTTATAAAACTACGTCTCTTTCAGTTGGTGACCATGTGATCTAGTGGATTCTGAGATCCATTTTTTAAAGTAATGATGCGTAAGCAGGCATTGGATGGGAGGATTAGTTTCAGATGCCAAAATATATACAGACATACAGCCCATTAGAGAGAGATTCCCTCTTCTCATTATATGCCCCGGAGCTAATGGCCCACCGAAAACTAGAGGAAACCAGATCTGAAAGACAAGCTCCTAAGAGTAGTCCAACCAAGTTAATTGCATTACTTGAGAGCTTCTTTAAGGTTTTAAGCTCCAGTCAACAAATAATTAAGACAATCTAGAACACAATTATGAAAAACCCAATATCAGTTTCATCATGGCAATTCCCCCTGCGTTTCTGAATTCTGCTAACTTCACCAGATGAATTGTCTCACTGTTTCACTGCTAAATCATCAACATCATAATCAATAGTTAAACCATATAATGATATATATCTCCCTGGGAAAATTAAATGTCAGATTTTCAGAGTTGTGTCATTGTCAATTTGGTCCCTGATACGGTGTGAGCACGAGGAACCTACATTCTGCTTAAAGTAAGTGTTACGGAATTAACGATATTGTAGGCAGAAGACAAAAAGTACAAGCTGCAAAACTAGAAAGTCCTGAAATTATTGGAATGAAACCCTGGAATAGGTAGTGCTATGATCCAACACAACAAGGGAAAAGTACAAGAAAGAAATCCAAATCCATATTAGTTTAGCAGGCAGTTTCTCAAAAAGGGCTCCTTGGAAATCTAGAGTTTAGCAATAGGTCACCTGGGCTCTGCAAAAGATTGTAATTACGAAATAAAAACATTGTCTTTTGAGCTGTAGCTATAACATTTTGATGCAGGGGTTCCCTAAGATCCAAAAAGCATTTCAAGGCTTCCTACAGGACAAAAGTTTGAGGAAGGCTAATCTAGCCTTTTTACAAAGACAAGAAAGGGAGGGCAAGCTTATGAGATCAACGGATATCTTCTTCAGGAACAATAATACAAAAATGAATAGAGAGATGGTTGGTATGATGTGATATCTTCATGATCAGAGTTTTAAAATAGGGGGGGGGGGGGGAAGAGCCTGCAGACTTTCAGTGAGGTTTTAGAAGGGGAAATGATGCTTTCACGCATTATACCTGGAATGACCTCTGGAACGTTGCCCAGGGGACACCCAGCTGTTTGATGTTTTACCATCTTTGTGGGAGGTTTCTCTCATGTTCCCGCATGGGGAGCTGGAGCTGACAGAGGGAGTTGAACTTGATCTCCCCGGATTTGAACCGTTGACCTATTGGTCAGCAGTCCTGCCAGCACAAGTGTTTAACTCATTGCACTACCGTGGGTAAATAAATAATATTACAGGTGGGGTTCCGTATCCACTGATTCAGCATATGTTTTTAATATGTTTCTTAAAAATCCAAAATATGTTTTTTTTTAAATCCCAAAAATAAATTTTACAACTATCATTTTATATGCGATGCAATTTTATTATGTCATTGCATATAATGGGACTTGAGCATGGGCATTTGGTATCCATGAGGAGTTCTGGAATGGAGGTTCTACTGTATTATCATTTATTTATATAATGCCATCACTTTACATGTTAAAGGAAACAACTTCTGTAGAAGCGGTTAGCTTGCATTGCTATATATGCCTAACCCATGACTGCAATTCACACCTTTTTTGTATTTATAACAGAAAATCAGTATTTTAAAAAAATCATCTCAAGCAATATCAACTGGGCCACAAATTGGTCAGTCCATGTTTCCATTCTTAGACCTCTGGAACCCCTGCAGGGAAGGGACCGATATTGACACCCACCACTCACAAAGGGCTTTATATATTCTGATGACCTTGTTTCAAGCAAAAGACTTTGAAACACTTGAAATCCAACTTACTAATGCCTTGAAAGATCTCTCCAGCTACTTCAAAGATAACCACATGACGCCTAACCCTGCCAAGACACAAGTGTGTGCTTTCCACCTATGTAACCGTGAAGCCAACGAGAAATTGAAAGTTACCTGGGAAGGCCAAGAGCTCAAACAACGTTTCAATCCTAAATATCTTGGTGTCACCTTAGATCGAAGACTAACATTTAAGAAACACTGTATGAACACAAAGTACAAAGTAGCTACACACAAAAACATTCTGCAGAAACTTACTGGCAGTGCATGGGGTGCAAACTCAAAATTAATAAGAACGTCAGCCCTGGTTTTGTCATACTCAACCACTGAGTATGCCTACCCTGTTTGACACAAGTCTACCCATGCAAAGCAGGCAAACATAGCATTGAACGAAACATGCAGAATAATCACAGGATGTCTCAAACTTACATCTGTTGATAAGCTCTATTAGCTAGCTGGCATTGCCCCCCACCTCACCAATGTGCGATGGGAAGTTGCTGCTAACTGTGAGAGAAATAAGGTTGAACACTGTGAAAGCCACCCACTGCATGGCTATCAGCCTTCTCCTAGTAGACTCAAATCAAGGAAAAGCTTCATAAGAACCACTGCTCCTCTTAACATTTCACTGGGCAGCTAAACCAGGAAATCCCATTTGGATGCCCCCCATAAGGGTCTGCTTCCAGGGGCAAACCAAGAATAGGCAACGTGGAAATCCCTGAACAGACTCAGAAGTGGAGTGGGCAGATCAAAAGACGACCTGGCAAAATGGCACTGCCTAAAATAATTCTCCACCTTGTGATTAAGTGTGGTAAATAGTTGAGAGGGGGGCTACAGAAACGTTCTCATCATATATTCTAATGTATAGGTTGATCCAAGATATTACTATAAAGGGTAGATGCCAAACCAAATCAAATTTATCAGCAACTACTCATTTATAGCATTACTGCCCATCCCTACAAGACTAAACTGCCGTGGTTAAAGGACTGCAGCTTGATTGAGTCTGAATTGATGTTTTCATATGTGCATGGCTTCAAACTACAAGAAAGGAGATTCCATTTGAACATGAGGAAGAACTTCCTGATTGTGAGAGCCATTCAGCAGTGGAACTCTCTGCCCCGGAGTGTAGTGGAGGAGCCTTCTTTAGAAACTTTTAAGTCTCTTCCAACTCTATGATTCTATGATTCTATGCATGCATCTGATTTTATTGTATTTTATATTGTGTTCACTTTTATGTTTGTGTTTAGGCACTTTGTGCCATCTGTAAACCATCCCGAGTCCCTTCAGGAAGATGGTGGCAGGATATAAGAATAAAGTTGTTGTTGTAGTTGTAGTTGTTGTTGTTGTTATTATTATTATTATTATTATTATTATTATTATTATTATTATTATTATCCAAATGCTCAGATGTTTGATTCTGTATAACTGTGCAAAGAACAACTGAAACACATCAAGCAGCAATTCTGGTGGGAAACAGTTTTCTTTTCCACACTGAAGCAGAGGGAAAGATGGGCAGAGTTGGACAGAGAGTAGCCTAAGCTGATTTGGCATCAGCAAAGCCAGCTGTGTATCTAAGAGGGAGATCAAAATGGGATTTCTATCAGTGCAGCGTTTTTGTATCAGCACAAAAAGCTCTCAGGAGTGTGTTATCAGAAAAGCAAGTGAAGTTCTCATTGTCTTCCAATGTTTACACAGCTACACAGCCTGATGATCATTCACAATGCTCCTTCCTTTGTTGATCATTGCTCTGTTCCCCAACATGTACCTGAATGTTGATTTGTGCAAAAGAATATTCTTATCCTAAGATAAATGTCTATCTTCTAGTTTTAAGCCACCTTGAGTCCCCTCTGGAGTGGAGAAAGGCAGGGCAGAAATGTGCAAATAAATGAATAATAATTGAGATCCTTTGTCACAAACAATACATTCTGGAAAACCGAGGGAGTGGAGAGGTTAACTCATCTAGGCAGTCAGCAGTCACTATCAAATAGGCATTTGTACTATCTTGGGCACTATCTCTCTTCAAAGAAGAAACACAGGACATAAGTCAAACATGAATGATAGGGTAGGGGTGGGGAGAGTATAGATGTGGGAATAAATGATTTAACAAGACAACTGTATTATGATAAAAGTTTTGAAATAAGTAAATAATACTTTTAAAAAAAAGTTAAAAGAGAAAGAACAGGATATAAGTCAAATATACCAATAATAAAAGCAAACTTTTCATTCAATAGCATTACAGTCCCACTTAACTACCATGGCAACATCCTACAGAATACTGAGATTTTCAATTTAGGGGTGAGTATTTGGAATTTCCAGCCAAAGAACTCCAGTGCCTCACCAAACTACAAATCCTAGGATTCCATAGGATGCAGCCACGGCAAACTGGAATCACAGTGCTATAACTGTGTTGTGTAAAACACCACCGGGTCTGGGCATGACTTCCAGATATATGTTGCATTTGTCACTCAAACAGAGTGAAGTTTTCTGCATAGACCATTTTAGTATTCAACAGCCTCCATTCTGTTCCTCTCCATGACATCACGGACCCAACACCACCCAAACCCACAGCCCATATTGTCTGTTGTGAATAGCTTACCTTTGGTCAGAGAATGGATGCCAAGTTTCACCTGTGAGAAATTCCCACTCCCAATTTCTCCTCTGACGCGGTAAAACCCAATCCTCTTCCCCAGGGTTAATTCCTTTACCACCTTCTCATCCTGGGACATATCCAGAGTGAGCTTCTCGAATGGGGTTAACCGCCGCGGCTTGCCTTGCCCATCGTCCGCATAGACCTCGCTCTTTGTGTAGTCCTCTCCGCTGTCTTCCCGGTGCCATTTCACATATCGGTGGCTCCCTTGACCGCCATTGATATGTCCTGTGGTCATAGTCCGGGGCGATCACATATCTGTTTGCTTTTAATACATCGGTTTGCAGGGAGATTCCAGGAACAGCGGTCCAGACATAACTGAATTGTTGGCAGTTTAAGCAGAAACTATTGTGAGGCTAAAATGTCAGTTTGGAACTTACACTTATTCTGCCATTGCCTCCAATGCATTGTTAGTATCTTCCAAGAAAAAAATAAATTACAGATGACACGAAGAGTCCCTTGCACCCACTTTTCACGAGCCTTTTGAAATGTGACACTGGATCAAAGCCCACAGTCTTAAATGAAAGATTTAAAATTAAAGCTGTAGCACTGTTGCATCATAAAAGTGAAGGAGTACATGCTGCTAGTGGTGCACAAAATACAAGAGTACCCCTTTTTGACACTTCAGCATTTACCTGGCCGCGCAGTGGTCATCATGCAGAAAAACAAACCACTTAACTAGATGACTCTTTGGAATATATCCCAGCATTTTCAGGTCCTTTTGAACAGCTGACCTCATCAGGTAGGAGTCAAGAGGGTGCTTTCCCCTTTCTTGATTCAGGTCCCAGTTCAAAAGCCGAGAGATGGAAATTCTGTGGTTACATTCCTTAATTAGCCGGCAACGCTCCTACCCCAATTTGTGAATGGTCCAGCACTCCCTCGAAATCCCGCTGTCTGTCAGTTCCTTGCGGATGTTCTTTTCTGTTGCCATTGTCGATAAAAAGCTGATGCCGGAGGATGCCAGCAAGGCTGTAAGCCGAAGGCTGGCAGAAAAGCAAGACGGAGGGGATCTGCTTTTCAGTACCACTTAAGTCACATGGAAGGACAGCAAAGGATTTAGTAACGGCAGTCATTTAACCCTCCTCCATTTAGAGACGGTTGCCTTCGAAATCTCTCCTGAGCCATCTCAAAATGCTTCCAAATGTTCCTAAGAGGAAAGAAACATTGGGTTAAAAACTCGTTATCACCGTCCAGAGTTCTCACCAAGACATTGATTTTTCTCTATCTGTCAATTGAGTTTTTAGAAAGCTCCATAATTACATCACACAATCCGATGATGCTTACCAGGCAGCCGTGAACTTGGCTGCACTCTCACATTTCCTTCACTTAACCGAGCACCACAAAAGGTTGGGAGGCTATCTGAGGATCATCAGCATCTCAACCAGTAACAGCAGACATCTTCTGGAAAAGTGAACGCCCCTGAGCTCATTTCTTATTCACAAGGACAGACCGATGCCTTTACATAACCAATGAAAGTCATTTTTTCAGCCCAATAATGTACACTAGAGTCTCGCTTATGCAACCTTCACTCATCCAACGTTCTGTATTCTCCAAAACAGTCTGCCTCCCGCTTGGATCCACAGCTGCTTCATTACATTGCGATGTTTTGGTGCTAAATTCGTAAATACAGTAATTACCACATAAGACTACTATGTATTGAACTGCTTTTTCTGTCAATTTGTTGTAAAACATGATATTTTGGTGCTAAATTCATAAAATCATAACATAATTTGACATTTAATAGGCTTTTCCTTAATCCCTCCTTATTAGCCAACATTTTCACTTATCCAATGTTCTGCCGGCCCATTTATGTTGGATAAGCGAGACTCTACTGTATCTGGATGACATAGGGATGCATATGGGTAAGGCATGTGTCCTTTTATTATATCTATTGAATTTTCTCAATATTCCAGATTCCGAAATTTGCCTGCCAAGTAAAGTTTTTCCATATCTCTACCTCCATAAAATGTCTTTCCTTCCAGCTTGTATATTCTCTCACATGATTCACATCTTTGGCCACCACAGGTTGAGCATTCTTCATTCAGAATTCCACAATCTGAAATATTTCAGAATTTTAAAACTGTATACATTGGTGGTCAAAATAAGGACACCTTTCCCTTCTGATGAATCAATATACACAAACTTTGTTCCATGCACAAAAATGCTAAAATGATTATTAGACATGGGTCCGATTTCACGGATTCACACTGGAAGACCTTGAAATTCCTAGAGAACCCATATTGATCATATTCATGAATAATCAAATTCTCAAAAGTGAAATCTGCAAAAGTGGAGGGTCAGCTGTACATTCTCTTAAAACTAGGAATAATTTTCAAGACTGAAAACCTTCTCAAGAGACTCAAGACAGAAAATCCAATAGTCCCCCAAGGGAAAAAATGACATTCCCCCAGAATAGCACAAAGACAGATAAATAGAAGAGTCCTCATCAGTCATCAAACCTGACTCACCACAACTAGCATTACGACGTCAACTAGATGCCATCCCCAGTCTGAGTGATTCTTTTACATCGATTTTAAACGTACAGCCTCACTGTGAAGAGTTTAAAAGCTTCAGGATCCTAAGATTTGTGACAAAGCAAAAGTGAACACTCACCACGGTCTTTCTATATATGCAGTACAGAGGATATAAATAACAGACCAGCTTAAGGCCAGTGCAGCTTAGGACAACAGCAGCAGATGGATATAGCAGAGAAGGAGACAGTTCCTCCCTTCTGGCACATTTATTATTCAGAAGCTATTTTTGCATTTCTGTTTCACTGCTGACGTTAATCCCACTGCACATGCCAGCCTCAATTGTAATAAATGCGCATCATGGGTAGCGGTGCATTCATTCCTCGTTGTTACATAATCAGAACATATGCTTGGGCTTCGAACAAAAGGCTGTGCATCAGTTTACGACAACAGCCGTGATAAAATTACAAGTTATGTTATGGGACTGAAAGTTCAGCCACAGTTCTCCATGCGCCAATGGGGAATACACAGACCTCCTCCTCATGTTGTTAGCTTTAGACTTCTGAGTCAGTGGCAAGAATCATGGGAGTTGTAGTCTGACGGGATCTCCAGTGTCACATATTCCCTGCTGCCTGGTTCAATGTTTTTGCTAAGGTATCAAAGAGTAGTTAGATCCTGCATCCCCTTACCATGGCAAAAAAAGGTTTATATTCTAAAGCTGGAAAGAAACATAGTCACCATAGATTGTTCAATGATGAGAAGACATGTGCATTTTACAGATCATAATTATTATGTGATTTTAATTGATGTTTTAGTGTTATGTTTTAATTGCATCTATTTGTTTACAGATGCATTTCTATATGTGGCATCAAATTACTGCCTTTGTAAGGCTGCCCTGAGGCCGGATATAAGTGTAGTTTGTTTGTTTTTTTGGTGTAAGGAGCAACTTGAGAAACTGCAAGTCACTTCTGGTGTGAAAGAACTGACCATCTGCAAGGACATTGCCTGGATGTTTGATGTTTTACAATCCTTGTGGGAAGCTTCTTTCATGCCCCCGCATGAGGAGCTGGAGCTGACAGAGGGAGTTCAACCCGATCTTCCCAGCTTCAAACCGCTGATTTGTCAGTCAGCAGTCCTGCCAAAACAAGGGTTTAATGCATTGCACCACCAGGGGGTAAATAATATTACAGGTGGGGTTCCATATCCACTGATTCTGCATATGATTTTGAAATGGTTTTAAAAATCCAAAAATATGTTTTTTTTAAAAATCCCAAAAATAAATTTTACAATTATCATTTTATATAAGTGATGCAATTTTATTATGTCATTGCATGTAATGGTACTTGAGCATAGGTATTCGATATCTATGGGGAGTTCTGGAACTAAGGGTCTCCTGTATTATCATTTATTTATATAATGCCTTCACTCTACATGTAAAAGGACACAACGTCTATAGAAGCTTGCATTCTTGTATATGCCTAACCTATGACTGCAATTCTCATCTTTTTTGTATTTATATTAGAAAATCAGTATTTTTGTGGGACATGAGAGAAGCCAAGCCACTTCTGATACGATATATATATATATATATAGAGAGAGAGAGAGAGAGTGAATCATCGGAAGCATTCTCAGCTGGACCAAAAATTGGTCAGTCCATGTTTCCATTCTTAGGGGTTTTGTTCCATTTGACTGCTGACATGTCAAACTTGCTAAAGCTACAAAATATAAATATACATGAATTATGTATGTTTACTCCCTACATTTTCCACATTTTTACCTCAACTATCTGTCTAAAAGGCCAACAAGACCAAAAAAAACCCCAAACAGGAGAACGACTAAAAGCTACATATATTAACTTAGTAAAACAGAATTGTTAGGGAGGACTGGTTTTCTTCTTGGTGGGGCACAATATACTTGGCATTTGCATTTGATAAATGCAACTTGAATTTTTCCTTCTGATTTGGGTGCATGCTGTTGGAAGAAGTTCATTTCAAATAAAGACCTCAGCTTCATTGTGTGTGTGCGCAGTGTGTGACTTCAACTCATTTCCAACTTATGTCGACCCTAAGTGACCTACCATGGGTTTTCTAAGGCTAAAAGTGTGACTTTTCCAAGGTGAGTTTTTATGGCTGAGCGGGGATTCAAAGCCTTTTCTCTAGAGTTGTCATCCATTGCTCAAACAACAACATGATTCCAATGTCTGTGCTTTCTCTCTCTCTGTGTATGAATAGTTGCTTATTCATTCAGTCGCTTCCGACTCTTGGTGACCTTATGGACCAGCGCACGCTAAAGCTCCCTGTCGGCCATGGCCACCCCCAGTTCCTTCAAAGTCAAGCCAGTTACTTCAAGGATAACCTCCATCCATCTTGCCCTTGGTCGGCCCCTCTTCCTTTTTTCTTCCATTTTCCCAAGAATCATTATCTTCTCCAAGCTTTCCTGTCTTCTCATTATGTGGCCAAAGTGCTTCATCTTTGCCCGTAATATCCTTCCCTCCAATGAGCAATCGGGCTTTATTTCCTGGAATATGGACTAGTTTGATCTTCTTGTGGTTCCCCCCCCCTCTCTCTCCCCTTAAAAACCCCTACAAGAAACGCATTGTTCTCCTAATGCCATAGACAACTCATGCCCTCTTCTTTTCATTGGTTCCCTTGAGCTAATAAGAACCAAATGTTTTAGTCAGAGTTACTGAGCCCTTCCACACTGTCCCTTTATCCCAGGATCTGATCCCAGATTATCTGTTTATCCTAGGTTATTTGGCAGGGGAGATTCATATATTCCAGTTTAAAGCAGATAATCTGGAATCAGATCCTGGATAAAGGGCAGTGTGGAAGGGCCCTATATAGCTTTTGGAAACATTCAGCTATCACGACCACTGGACCTACCGGCCAGGCATTTTCTGGAAATTGCAGTCCAATAATGTATTTTTAGCCATGTGGAAGGTGCTAATGCCCTTGTCAATTTGAAGTGTTTGTCGCCTTTTTGTAATTCCCTGTTTAGAAAATGAGCACAGTGCAACTTCTGTATCCACAAGGGATACATTGCAAAGCACTCCATGGTTAATACCGATCCCTCTATTTTGACATCAGGTGCCCAGAAAACTACACAACCCAGCCATATTCTAGCAGGTTTGGGTGAAAGAGACTTTGTTCCAGAATAACATTAAGAGGGGAAATGAAGATAGAATCATAGAATCATAGAATCAAAGAGTTGGAAGAGACCTCATGGGCCATCCAGTCCAACCCCCTGCCAAGAAGCAGGAATATTGCATTCAAATCACCCCTGACAAATGGCCATCCAGCCTCTGCTTAAAAGCTTCCAAGAAGGAGCCTCCACCACACTCCGGGGCAGAGAGTTCCACTGCTGAACAGCTCTCACAGTCAGGAAGTTCTTCCTAATGTTCAGATGGAATCTCCTCTCTTGTAGTTTGAAGCCATTGTTCCACGTCCTAGTCTCCAAGGAAGCAGAAAACAAGCTTGCTCCCTCCTCCCTGTGGCTTCCCTCACATATTTATACATATTTATATCTCCTCTCAGCCTTCTCCTCTTCAGGCTAAACATGCCCAGCTCCTTAAGCCGCTCCTCATAGGGCTTGTTCTCCAGACCCTTGATCATTTTAGTCGCCCTCCTCTGGACACATTCCAGCTTGTCAATATCTCCTCTTGAATTGTGGTGCCCAGAATTGGACACAATATTCCAGATGTGGTCTAACCAAAGCAGAATAGAGGGGTAGCATTACTTCCTTAGATCTAGACACTATGCTCCTATTGATGCAGGCCAAAATCCCATTGGCTTTTTTGCCGCCACATCACATTGTTGGCTCATGTTTAACTTGTTGTCCACGAGGACTCCAAGATCTTTTTCACACGTACTGCTCTCGAGCCAGGCATCACCCATTCTGTATCTTTGCATTTCA